GGCACAGAGAAATTCGCCTAAACTTGCACGGATTATCCGTCTTATAGCCATGTAACTATCTGGAAAGTTTAAAGAAAATCGATCAGTCAGATCTTGAAATACCTTACAAGACATTTTTATAACGTACGAAATGCGACGGTTTTCCCGAAATTTCGCCATATTTTCGGACCGCCAAAATTTCGGTCGTCGTAATAGAATCCGTCGCATTATTTTTAGCTTATTCCAATAATTGTGGCTTCATCGATTCATTTTGTTCTTGAAAAGTTAGTGATATGATGGTGGGACAAATAAACACAATATTCCATGATGAATTTAATGTCAAGTTATACGTTTTAAATTTACAATAAATTACATTTATGTGCTAACATAAACGTCTTATAGACTAAGTCAAGATAAACAATTTAATACCAAACTCAATAAGTGAAACTGAAAGATTCGAGCCGGACCCCTTAGAGGAAGATGAAGAAATCGATTTATAAGTTTCATTTTGTTTCAACATGATTTTACCGATTTTTAGAAAATTTTGAATTTCCTTTGTGTCAGAAAACAAAATGATGAAAAATACCCTTATTTTCTGTGACGTCCGATATGTGACGGTTTTTGTTCAATTTCGCCATATTTTCGGACCGCCAAAATTTCGGTCGTCGCAAATTGGTCCGCCACAAAAATGTCTTGTAAGGTATATTCCTGTGTCCCGCCGAAACCGCCAATTTGGAGATATTTTCTTGTGTTTGAAGTCATATCTCAAGTTTGGCACATAGAATTTCTCCCAAACTCGTACACATTATCCACCATATAACCATGTAACTGTTCAAAAAGTTTAAAGAAAATCTATTGGTCAGATCTTGAGAAAATCGAAAATATATTCTAAGTTTTTCACTAAAACACTCGATTTTCGACCAATCCATATTATGGTACAGTTTTGTCGTGTTTGAAGTCATATATCTAGTTTGGCACATAGAAATTCGCCCAAACTTGCACGATTATATATATTATTCGTCTTATAGCTCTGGAAATATCTGGAAAGTTTTAAAAAATTCTATCAGTTAGATCTCGAGATAATCGACTTTCGTCAAATATTGTACCATGGTACAGTTTGGTACGGAAAGTCCAACTCCCGAAATTTGGCAACTATCAACATCATGGCACAATTAAGTCGCATGCTCAGTAAATTGCTAATCAAATGTACTGCACTTATACAGTCTACAGTGTATGAATTCATGAACGAATTTATTAAGGCAGATTGGTATAACAACTATCGTAAATGCTATTTTGTATTAACAGCGGAAAGTGTTCTTAAGGGAGTCATGCCGGGAGTTATAAAACACGTCATTAAAAACACTTTCCAACTACAAAACTTAACCACAAAACCAGCTTTGAGCACTATTTCTAGGTTCTGAAACGACTAAATGATGCGAATTATAAATCCTCAGAGCTGATCCCACTCTACATTAAAAACACTTTCCAACTACAAAACTTAACCACAAATCCGACTCTGAGCATGACGTGTCATTCTTTTTGTTTTAAATTTTTAATCTTAATTTTAATTTTCAGTACGTTTTACCTAACAATATCATTTTTTAGCTAGCAGAATGGTTTTCAGAGGGCATTAATGAAATGTACTATGTATGAGCTGGTCCCAAGTCCAGACGCCATTTTATTCTATTATGTAATTTTCAATAACCCTGTCTAGTCATTGACTACTGATTATACATGGAAACATATGTGGTCATAAGCTATCTATATTATACATTGCACATCATGTATGAATTGTAATTAAAGCAAGTTGTGATTACATTACATTAGCTGATATTGGTCATCTTTCTTAGCTCTTATGAGTGGGTCGATCATATAGTTTGATAGTTTTTGTTATTAGTTCAAACAAATCTATTACCTTTATTGAGCTATGTAAGTTATTGTAACGTCCTGTCTACGACAAAGGCGTGTTGCCGAAACGTCGACAGCTAATATGTTTTGAAACACAGAGTGGAGGATCCAACTTAGTCACCAACTATTAAAGTTTAAACTATAAATAAATTAGCTGATAATAGGAATTTTTCGTAAATATAGAGTGGATGTTACCATGGAAACATGATCATTTTACCATGGAAACATGTAGTCATTAGCCATCTATATTATACAACATAGATTGTAATTAAAGCAAGTCATTGAATGTTTTATCTGGCAACAGTTATAGTGTGCACTGTGTAGGAATGTGCATTTTTTGTACTTATTTACGGTGAATCTTAACGTGGGCTAATTTTATTTGGTGATTTCAATTATTCCATAGCCAAACTGTTGTCTATGAAAACCTTCCCCATGGGGAAGGTTTTCATAGTCAACTAAAACAAATAGTAATTAAATTAAATTAGCTGATAGTAGAAACTTTTTGTTAATAAAGAGTGAACAGTGACCACATATAAAATTTGAGAGAGAATTGAGAGAGAAATTCGTTCAGCGGACACATACATTATACTGTCCAGAGATATTATGGGAGGTTCAAGCTTATTAAAAGATTCTTTGAACTTTTGAAAAGTAGCAAAATTTGAGATAAATTGATAACCTAGGACCGGGAGTTGGTTTACACATTGTATAAGTAATACGACATGTTTTATTTAGCAGAATTATACAATATGCATATGTAATCGTCTTTAATTGGGGATGATGGGGCGAAGACGTGATTTATATATATGATAAAGTGCCAGGTGGTGACAATAATTGAGGGCGTGTGGATGAAGAATCAGTCTTGATGCAGCTAGGAGGGTGAAGGAGGTAAAAATATGTACAGTACAATATCATAGAAACTAAGAACGAAAATCCTCTTACATCAGTAAAAACCGATATGCTTGCCTTCAATTAAAAACCTTGCTTTAAAAATGATATTATTATTCAAGTTAAAAGCCTTCGAAGTTTTGTAATAATCTATCGCATGATATTGTATATCTGACATCAATCAAATTGCAACTCTTAAGTTAACTTGTTGTTTAATTATATTATTGAATCACAGCTGAACACATGTATAAGTACGCGTACCTAATATTCGGCGGTTATTGATCAACTTTTCCCATATTTTACATAATGCTGCTGAACCTGATAATTAAAATATTCGCTGTAAATATCTATAATATAATATTCACACTATAAGATTCTAGAAGGCAAAGTTCAAATGAACCAAACATCATATTAATATATTGACCAACAAATATATGGATTCCTACAGAATATTTCGAATTACAGTCGGAACTGCAGACGTACTGTATTATGTTAGTTTACTAAATTAACTGGTCGAAACACTTCTATAGAAATAAAATCAAGTTATACAATAAATTTATACTCTATAAACTACACAATATAATTATATTATAAATATAACAATAATGTCAGTTTCGGCTGCTCACTGCTCAGGTCACAATCCGATAACCTATCATTTTTGCAGCCTAGATTTAGGAATTATGATGTCAGAAATTAAGGATTCAAATAAGAAGCTTAGTGATTCTAAAGTGAGCAGCATTTTAGACCGTAAACGTTTACAATAGCTGGTTCAGCCGGCTTAAGGAACAACAATAGATGCTCTTCGTATATAAAAGAAACACCATTAAAACGAATGTAAAATTTGCAACTCTAGGATCACACAATTAGCGCAAACGTGGATACTGGATATAATAAGTTCGTAATGTTATAACATATAACATCTGATTGATCATTGACTAATGGACACGATATCAAAAATATGTTTAAATAGGACTCAAACCATCAGGCTTAACCTAAACTAGTTTAATGATACTTAGTTTTGCTTTATATTAAAATCTCAGCACATGTAATTTTGTAATGATCTTTCTAATTTCTAATTCTAATTTCTAATTCTAATTTCTAATTCTAATTTCTAATTCTAATTTCTAATTCTAATTTCTAATTCTAATTTCTAATTCTAATTCTAATTCTAATTCTATAAGGTATAACACAAGTGGCACTGATGCAGATGAATCATGGATAATTATTGACTGTTGACGAAAACTCGAAGTTTGAAATCCAAAGTATAAAGCTGCATGTAGTAGAAACGTAATTGGGAAATCAGGATTAAATATGATCACACGTAACGCGCGGATATAACATGTGCTTTATCCAATGCGAAACTAAAAGAGATGAAAATAAAAAATCGACTGTAGAGTGATTTAGCGCGACCGTCAGACAACGGTACCTTTAACCTTAGGAGAAATATATATACATGGTGTGAGAACCGAGGTGGCCAGTGATGGAGGTGTGAATTGTGGGAGCATAAGCACAAAGTGGAAAGATAAAATTGATGTAAGCAGTGAATGATGTAAGGGACGAAAATATAGAGTGTCACCCAAAAAGGTACGTAAACGTATGGCCAGACCAGAAATAAATCAGCAATGCGCGCTAAAAACGCGTGCGTGCTAAGTAAGCCCTGTTGCTTGGTTTGAACATTAAAAAGATAACAATACTTCGCGTGTTCCGTAACAAATGTCGCGTGTAAAATGAAACTCGGGACTGCAAAGTTTAGCGTCCTTGATTGTTCACAAGTGACCAGATGTTCGGTGCTATGATAAATCAAAATGTTTTAAATGTTTAAGAGGTTAGTCGAGTAAACATGATAGAGCTAGTTTATGAATTACCCTAACACCAGTAGGCAGTAAGATTATACACTCTCCACCATGTTCCCTATCAAATTACTCAATCACCTGATCCAATTTCTAAGTAATTTCCTAGCTCCTTCTCGATTTAAAAGTTGACGAACAGGGGGAACTAATTGGAATTATCAAAAACCACGTACCAATTTTAACGACTTGTCTGACGTCTTTACATCAATAATTTATGAAAACCAAATATCTAAGCCTCTACATCAATTATACATAATAATTACTTACTTACTTTAGGTTACTTTAGGATACTTTAGGTTACTTTAGGTTACTTTAGGTTACTTTAGGTAGGTTCGGCAGGGATCTAAAATAAAAGAGGAAATAATGAATAAAGCTCACGTTAACAGAAACGCAAAGTAGTGGTGTGCTGTACCAGGTAGCATGGGACATCAACAGACCGCTTACAAACGTACCTACAATAAGAGGTTATCTTTCAATACTTATTACTGATAAAGTACAGCTTTATTATATATAATAACATGGCATGTATGGTGTTTCATTGGTAACTTCCACTCATATCAGATTGAGATAAAGTAATTTACTGTCATAAAGCAACTATTCCTCACAGTTAACAATGCCGCATTAATTTTTAAAGTGCATTCTCACAATCAGTATGAGATTGACCTTGTACTATAGGTATCTAACAAATTTAATCTCTCAATGTACATGCCCTTTACATAACGTAGTATCTCCGATGTTTTTAATTGACCTACTTAGTACTTATAAATAGTTTGCTAGATATGACATGTCCTTACATTCCCGATATAAGGAACTAACGTCTTATCAAGGCAATGAGTTTAGTGGCTCAACTCACCAAACATGGCCCCAAGTTGCAACATGCCATCTGCTATTGCAATCCGAGATGTCCTGCTGTTCTTATCCGCAATATCCGAGATGTACGCCATTGCTGTCCTGAAAATAGAAAACATGAGAATGGTGTGAGAGGTGACATTGCTGTCCTGAAAATAGAAATCATGAGAATGGTGTGAGAGGTAACATTGCTGTCCTGAAAATAGAAAACATGAGAATGGTGTGAGAGGTAACATTGCTGTCCTGAAAATATAAATCATGAGAATGCTGTGAGAGGTAACATTGCTGACCTGAAAATATTAATCATGAGAATGGTGTGAGAGGTAACATTGCTGTCCTGAAAATAGAAATCATGAGAATGGTGTGAGAGGTAATATTTCTGTCCTGAAAATAGAAATCGTGAGAATGGTGTGAGAGATAACATTGCTGTCCTGAAAATAGAAATCATGAAAATGGTGTGAGAGGTAACATTGCTGTCCTGAAAATAGAAATCATGAGAATGGTGTGAGAGGTAACATTGCTGTCCTGAAAATAGAAATCATGAGAATGGTGTGAGAGGTAACATTGCTGTCCTGAAAATAGAAATCATGAGAATGGTGTGAGAGGTAACATTGCTACATCCTGAAAATAGAAATCATGAGAATGGTGTGAGAGGTAACATTGCTGTCCTGAAAATAGAAATCATGAGAATGGTCTGAGAGGTAACATTGCTGTCCTGAAAATAGAAATCATGAAAATGGTGTGAGAGGTAACATTGCTGTCCTGAAAATAGAAATCATGAGAATGGTGTGAGTGGTAACATTGCTGTCCTGAAAATAGAAATCATGAGAATGGTGTGAGAGGTAACATTGCTGTCCTGAAAATAGAAATCATGAGAATGGTGTGAGAGGTAATATTTCTGTCCTGAAAATAGAAAACATGAGAATGGTGTGAGAGGTAACATTGCTGTCCTGAAAATAGAAATCATGAGAATGGTGTGAGAGGTAACATTGCTGTCCTGAAAATATAAATCATGAGAATGGTGTGAGAGGTAACATTGCTGTCCTGAAAATAGAAATCATGAGAATGGTGTGAGAGGTAATATTTCTGTCCTGAAAATAGAAAACATGAGAATGGTGTGAGAGGTAACATTGCTGTCCTGAAAATAGAAATCATGAGAATGGTGTGAGAGGTAACATTGCTGTCCTGAAAATAGAAATCATGAGAATGGTGTGAGAGGTAACATTGCTGTCCTGAAAATAGAAATCATGAGAATGGTGTGAGTGGTAACATTGCTGTCCTGAAAATAGAAATCATGAGAATGGTGTGAGAGGTAACATTGCTGTCCTGAAAATAGAAATCATGAGAATGGTGTGAGAGGTAATATTTCTGTCCTGAAAATAGAAAACATGAGAATGGTGTGAGAGGTAACATTGCTGTCCTGAAAATAGAAATCATGAGAATGGTGTGAGAGGTAACATTGCTGTCCTGAAAATATAAATCATGAGAATGGTGTGAGAGGTAATATTTCTGTCCTGAAAATAGAAATCGTGAGAATGGTGTGAGAGATAACATTGCTGTCCTGAAAATAGAAATCATGAGAATGGTGTGAGAGGTAACATTGCTGTCCTGAAAATATAAATCATGAGAATGGTGTGAGAGGTAACATTGCTGTCCTGAAAATAGAAATCATGAGAATGGTGTGAGAGGTAACATTGCTGTCCTGAAAATAGAAATCATGAGAATGGTGTGAGAGGTAACATTGCTACATCCTAAAAATAGAAATCATGAGAATGGTGTGAGAGGTAACATTGCTGTCCTGAAAATAGAAATCATGAGAATGGTGTGAGAGCTAACATTGCTGTCCTGAAAATAGAAATCATGAGAATGGTCTGAGAGGTAACATTGCTGTCCTGAAAATAGAAATCATGAGAATGGTGTGAGAGGTAACATTGCTGTCCTGAAAATAGAAATCATGAGAATGGTGTGAGAGGTAACATTGCTGTCCTGAAAATAGAAATCATGAGAATGGTGTGAGAGGTAACATTGCTGTCCTGAAAATAGAAATCATGAGAATGGTGTGAGAGATAATATTTCTATCCTGAAAATAGAAATCATGAGAATGGTGTGAGAGGTAACTTTTACTCTTTTATATCATGAGGTAACCAAGGTAACCAGGGTAACCAAGGTAACCACTAATCCTTAGTGACCGTGTAACTAAGAAGGTGAAAAAATTATGGTGGATTTTGACATTTTTGGAATAGTTGTGATAAAGTTACTATCTGCCAAAACTGGTTTTTCACTATCTTTAATGTCCAATGAACGATTCTCAAATCTAAGCAGTATAAGTGAGCGTCAAGCATGCCTGCTCTGTAACACTGATATAAAGGATCTTGATAAAGTGACATCAGACTATAATGAATTATTGGACAGTTAAACTTTTTGCAGTATCAAGTATTGTGAATTTAAAACTTGATTACTGTACGCTTGAATTCTCATTACAGATTGTAATATCTTAATATGCTTGCAAGATGCGACATATTTAAATTCATCAACTACGGATAAATAAGTGAGTTATACTTGAGTTGCTTCATAAGAATGAACTATAACTTCATAAGAATGAACTTTATAAGAATGAACTATATAAAACAAGAATTTCGCCGCGGTTACACCACGCACGATTAATTTTCCCTGCTTAAACCGTTAACATTTGCAACTAAACGAAAAGATAATTTTATCGATTAATAAAAATTAGATATTGGATTATTTTGTTGTTAAAAAGTTGCAATATTTTCATCGTAATTTGTCATTGCGCGCGTGCAGGATAATCGAATATTTAGTACGCCGCGCACAAACTTTGGGCTAATTTAATTTGAACGGCATCGTTTGACAATTGAAATTCGCGTTGGATACTGCAATTAACTAACACATGCCGAGCGTTGCGCGCAGCATAACAGACGCTTCCTATACTCATAATTATAGGGGAGTGGTCTATATTGCGAAGGAGCAGACTTTTGTCGTCAACGTAGGACCGTCGGGCCACCTCATATATCCAAACCCGATTACTTATTCCCTACGATCTTTTTGCCTTCGGCAAGAGCAGGGAAAAAAATTCCCACCGAACTGTATCTACAGATGCTGTGGTGATGGCCAAATTATCACTAGAAAATCTCCACAGTCTTTTTAACCCTAACTTGGAACAAATTTTATGATTATTATCTTCTCAAATTGCAACCGTTTCTTTGTGACCGTGTGATGTGAAGCCTTGCAAACAGGATTATATTATTACTATTTCTACAGATATCAGGAACTGTAAGATAAAACTGATATCATGTTCAAGGTAAGGAATTTGAATTATTGTAAGAGAAAACTAACACGTACACACACACACACACACACGCTTTGTGGTAACTAAAAGACGCGTACTGTACCATTACAGTGGTGTTATGTACAGTGCTGTGTGTGTGTAATTAAGTACCTTTTGTAACTTGTCATGAGGTTGCAGATGGACACTACTAAGAGTTGTCATTGATCAAACTAATTTGTTTAAATTACAGAACTGAATTTAAAAGTTAGTCTAATTAAATATGATTATAAACATTTATCTAAACATTAATAAGAAGATTACTCTCGTCTCTTACCCCATAAAAGCCCCAAATCCTCCACCAAAGTAAGCTATGAAGACTGCTATGTAGTAAATATATTTCGGCATCTGCATTACCAAGGAGTTCACCAGCAGAACTGTAATGAAACTGTAGTCAATATTGTGTAATCCTATTAGTACAATATATTAAACGTATTATAAGTACATACTTTTTGTACTTGTACTTGTTTACACATAAAACTAGTAATTATTTAATTTAAGGGACATCAGGTCCGGAAATACACTGTCGCCAATATATTTGGTCACAACTAAATAGCCATTATATATTATTATCAACTCTATGTCATTATTGTCGTCCCTAACTTTTTAAATACCACTCGGTTTTCAGTTAGATCAAACATATAATGACTACGACTAATTTACTTCCTCAAATGTACACAAAAACACTCTTCCGGTGTACTTTAAACAACACAGACCCACCCGTGTTTAGTACAATTACTATTGGTGTACAGTGTGACTTAAAGGATGTACAATGTATTATTATTACATCTACAATATCACACCAAATCAAGGAGGGTTTAAAGAGTGCACCAGGCATCTGCATTCCATAAACTAGATAAACTAGATACCATTCTATAAACAAGATACCATTCCATAAACTAGATAAACTAGATACCATTCTATAAACAAGATACCATTCCATAAACTAGATAAACTAGATACCATTCTATAAACAAGATACCATTCCATAAACTAGATAAACTAGATACCATTCTATAAACAAGATACCATTCCATAAACTAGATACCATTCTATAAACTAGATACCATTCTATAAACTAGATACCATTCTATAAACTAGATACCATTCTATAAACTAGATACCATTCTATAAACTAGATACCATTCTATAAACAAGATACCATTCTATAAACTAGATACCATTCTATAAACAAGATACCATTCTATAAACTAGATACCATTCTATAAACAAGATACCATTCTATAAACTAGATACCATTCTATAAACTAGATACCATTCTATAAACTAGATACCATTCTATAAACTAGATACCATTCTATAAACTAGATACCATTCTATAAACTAGATACCATTCCATAAACAAGATACCATTCTATAAACTAGATACCATTCCATAAACAAGATACCATTCTATAAACTAGATACCATTCCATAAACAAGATACCATTCTATAAACTAGATACCATTCTATAAACTAATTACCATTCTATAAACTAATTACCATTCTATAAACAAGATACCATTCTATAAACTAGATACCATTCTATAAACAAGATACCATTCTATAAACTAGATACCATTCTATAAACAAGATACCATTCTATAAACTAGATACCATTCTATAAACAAGATACCATTCTATAAACAAGATACCATTCTATAAACTAGATACCATTCTATAAACTAGATACCATTCTATAAACTAGATACCATTCTATAAACTAGATACCATTCCATAAACAAGATACCATTCTATAATTTAGATATCATTCTATAAACTAATTACCATTCTATAATCTAGATACCATTTCATAAACTAGATACCATTCTATAAACTAGATACCATTCTATAAACTAGATACCATTCTATAAACTAGATACCATTCTATAATCTAGATACCATTCTATAAACTAATTACCATTCTATAATCTAGATACCATTCTATAACCTAGATACCATTCTATAAACTAGATAAACTAGATACCATTCTATAAACAAGATACCATTCTATAAACTAGATACCATTCTATAAACAAGATACCATTCTATAAACTAGATACCATTCTATAAACTAGATACCATTCTATAAACTAGATACCATTCTATAAACTAGATACCATTCTATAAACTAGATACCATTCCATAAACAAGATACCATTCTATAATTTAGATACCATTCTATAAACTAATTACCATTCTATAATCTAGATACCATTTCATAAACTAGATACCATTCTATAAACTAGATACCATTCTATAAACTAGATACCATTCTATAAACAAGATACCATTCTATAATCTAGATACCATTCTATAAACTAATTACCATTCTATAATCTAGATACCATTCTATAATCTAGATACCATTCCATAAACTAGATACCATTCCATAAACTAGATACCATTCTATAAACTAGATACCGTTCTATAAACTAGATACCATTCCATAAACTAGATACCATTCTATAAACTAAATACCGTTCCATAAACTAGATAACTGTCAGTAGTCTCCACGGCCCCTGAATATTAAGCTGAATACAGATGCAGAGGTAAACATTGTTGCATTATTAGAGTATAAGTACACACTAAATACACACTTATTTAAAACATATCCCCTTACCCGCAGAGCTGAATATTAAGGTTAATATTGTGTTACATTATCAGAGTAAATAAATAATAGTACACAATACATAATTGTATAACTACTAAAAACATAATATCCCCTTACCTGCAGAGCTGAATATAGAGGTGAAGACGGTGACTCTGAGGATAGTAGTCCTGGCAACCCTGTCTGCAATGTACCCCACTAGTAGGTTCACTACTATCCCCACCAGGCTGGACTCTATGCTAATGTACATGTTGAAGGTACTGAACTCTTGCGTGCCATTCTCTGATAGGTTCTGACAGATATCTTCTGATTTGTGGTAAAGACAGTGTCTGAATGGGCAGTGGTAATTAGCAGTGGTAATTAGCAGCACAATACATACAATATACACAATATACAGAACGAAAATAAAAGTAAAGTAAAGTAAAGAATATTAGCGATGAAAAGTGAAAACTTTACAATGCAAAAAACAGTGTTAAACCTGACAAGGGACTGGTTTTTGGTTTGTTCATACCAAACGTCAGCTTGGAAGATACCGGAATAGAATATGAGCTGCATGATGTAAGTGTACATGAAGAATAGCATCACTGGTTCAACCAGGTAGCGAGGAGAGTAAATCATGATAGCCCTAAGGGAGAATTGTGTCTTGTTTAAGTAGTTGTAGAATATTGTCATGGAAAATTATTGAGAGATAATAATATAAACTAATACAATTATTTATAGATGCGGATTCTCGTGGGGAGATGAGGCACATTTGTTTACTTTTAAGGGTAAGTTCTGTTCTGCACAAGACAGAGGTGATGCACATTTTGTATTTTCGAACACTTGTAACGCTTGTAACTCCTGCTACCCAGTACCCTGGCCCTCCTTGTAACACTTGTAACTCCTGCTACCCAGTACCCTGGCCCTCCTTGTACCCCTTTGGAAGTTTAGATTTATTTTCTGAACAAAGCTTGAAAATAACCGAGAAGTCAACCTTGTTATTAAGGTAAGGGGTCAACAAATTCGACAAAAATATTATTCACTAAATGGATTGATTTGTTGATGACTACAACATTGCTGCCATTCACATATTTGTAGCTGCTTAACTTTTTTTTATAAATGAGGTTAACTGGTTTTCAGAAAAATAACTATATAACATTGAGGTTAATAACATTGAGGTTAATATTTTATTAAACTGCAAGATTTTTTGTTATTTCGGTCAGCAAATGTAAACTCTAAATTCTAAGTCCATAATTTTCATAAAAAGTGATATCGCGATATCTCAGGAACGCAAGGTCAGATTTTGATCCGGTTTTTTCCTTCTTGTTTGTCTCCAGCAGCTATTATCAAATATTTGAACCTATAAAAGTGCCATTTCTTGCCTTAACTAATTTTGATGTCTGTTCCTAACCTAAAATGTCACGAGAAATCGATATAACTAAGAAGAACCTACAAACACTTCCCTATTCCTCAAAATTGATGTTTTACAGTTAATACAAGCAACCAGCAACATTATATATATTTTAACCCTTCGGTTCTACTCATGACCTAGATCGAGTCAATCGTCACCTTAACTGATCAAACCTGGATACTAACACAATTTTCAGCGAGAAATGTTTGTTGCAATATGTTAATTTGCAACTTTAAATGAAATAAACACAAAGTAGGTAACCAACAACACTAAACAATCATAATAAAACTGAATTAAATTTATTCTGAATGATGGGCAGCCATGTGCTCCGTGATCCTGAGCGACCAATAGTTATAAAGGCATAGTTGGTTCGTTAAAGTGCGTTATGGTTTGTTACTGCGTTAAGACTTAATATGTCATGTAATACTATTACTTTATAACATATTTTATAGTAATGTATCTTGGGCAAAATTTGTATTGATCAGGGAAGGAATTATTCAACGTTACGTTTAAATGTAACTACATCGCCGGAGGAGCGTGCAGTACATAAACAGCTGGTTCTAGATTTGAAGAAGAAGGTCAAGGAAAATCCTAATAAACGTTATTTTATCAGGACTGGTAAAATTTGTGAGATAGATGAGTGAGATATAATAGTTTATTTCTTATTCAATAATATAGATATTACATATTTCTTTGGCCATTTTACACTTTACATTTAATGGGAATATACATGCATTCTGGAGTTTAAATTATCACTTTGTCACCACGCCAGCCGCTTTGAAGTCGACAATTTTTATTTTAATAATATTGGTTGTTGATATAAGCGGGATATAAATGCTTTATTTCATTTCATTTCATTTCATTTCATTTCATTTCATTTCATTTCATGATCTCAAATTTTTAGTGTTAAAAGTATTTAATACTATAATAATAGCTTTTAAATTTTTTCAGGTTGAATTATCCAACAGCGTAGTGTACAACGCGACGTTGTCTTACAATTAGGTAACAAGGTGTCTTAAACTGAGTTTCATGACAATTCAAAATGTATAAATCTATAGAATTATCCTCATAGATGGTTTTACAATTGGATGGGCAGGATGACTGGGGCTAGTTGAGCTGGTGTTGAGCTTACATTTAAATAAGATTGCAACAGGCTAGGTTGTGTGTATAAACGACTAACATGACTAGAATAAAGTGACTCAATTTCAATCTGTTGAGCGAAGGATTGGAACCGAGGCATCATACATTCATATCAAACTTCTTCAATATTAGCTGTTCACATTTTGCACCAATGAACAATTTTACGTTCTATGTTTTAGCCACTCGTAATTTTCATCGACTTGTCAAAGAACAGTTATAAGAGAGCACAATTTTTAAATCGATATCTCAAATAAAAACTATATGGTATGATACATTGCACTTGATTCTTCTGGTCCACTTCTCCACAAAAAAGGATATTAAATACGACCCCTTAAATTATAGACCAGTTTCATTAACTTGTATTTTGTGCAAAGTGTATGAAACGTTGGTGGAGGGCGTCCAGGCGTCCATGGACACCCTAAAATTATTTATTATATTATATCTGGTGACTGGTGCTTGAAAATAGAAATAGTTATTAGTAATAGTATTCGGAAATATCTAACTGCAATATAAAGCTCTTTATTCACTCAAACGTTTGAACGTAAGCACACGCATGATCATTGTGAAATTTTGTGTTGTAGGATGTCCAATCCTCGTTTGGACAACTAAGCTGCATAGTTTTAACACATAATTAATTGTAAATGGTACAAAGCACATCAAGCGCATCCCACTACAGGTTATCCATATGATTTGGTCGTCCAGGACACCTTGCAATTTGAACTATTGACTGCTATAATACTGCGCGGCTGAGATTGTGCACGTGTGGTGTCCTGTTTCACCCATGTTATAAGTTTTTGTTTTTGTTTGCTGTCGCCTGTGACACATTACATCAGTCAGTTAAACAAAAATTCAGTTAAACAAAAATTCAATTTTATGCCATTTATTACAGAGTAAACAAGTTTACAATAAATCAATTTGATATTTAAAGGAATCCTAATTCAATGTGTAGTATGGTTGTCACTCTTTAAATATATTAGATATAGGTTGACGGGGCAAAGGAGTGTGCGTGCTGTTCGTTATTGCTCACACCAAACGGCAACCTAGTAAATGTTTTGTATGGACACCGGTCTCCATCACGATACAAAATTAGGATTGTAGAATTTATTGTATAACTTTTAGTGCAGTGGAGGTAGCGGTGTGGTGAATTAATAGAGTGACAGCCTACTGATTTAGAGCTGTTTTTAAGTGAGCATAATGGGTATATTTTTGGACCTAAAGGCTTTACTATGGCGGGGCAACTTTAAAATCGGTTCTTTTAATCATTTATTAAATATCACTTACACATTACACGAGCCCTGTGCACATGTAATGTGCGTTGTAATATTTTAATTAATTAATCAACTCTCTGCTATGCACGGGTCCGTATATAGCCGATTTTGCAGATTTAAGTTACGGAAAAACTAGCGGACCTAGCGGCAATATCGGATAGCTAGCGGAAACTAGCGGGTGTGTTAATGAAGCTAGTACTATTCTCCGCTAGTTTGCGCGTGGCGTCCTCTATACTCCGCTAGCCATCCGCTAGGTATAAATGATGCATTTTAGTGTATCTCCGTTAGGCGCCCGCTAGCTTCCGATAGCTGACCGCTGGTTTTTCCGTAACTTAAATCAGGCAATACGGACCTGTGTATGGTAATGGTATTGTATGCAGTCATCGGTGAGATTAGGGGTAGGGGAGAGGAGCTTGGGGCGGCCCCTAAGCCCTCCGATCCCCCCTCCCCCCAGTCCGTTGCTTCACTATAATAGGACACCCAAACAAATCTGTCAGCCAGCTCCCACGAGCCACCTCTGAGGCAGATTAGTAAAATTAGGTGCCCTGAGAGAGCTGCATACGATCCAATGTTATTGAATCGCACTCAATGAGGCTTCTCACAGCGACAGATCATAGCCAAGACGAATCTTTTAGTACCAAATTTATAACAGTTAAAGACACAAAATTTGTAAAAAATGTGTACAATTTGTACAAAATTTATACAAGGGGGGACCCTTGTGTTCGAGCTAGAAAATTATTTAAGACAATTTGTCTTCTAAAATCACCTATTTGGTACTAAAAGATTCGTCTGCCATTTTTGACCCTTTTTTACGATGAATTTTACTAAGTCGTTTGAGGCCACATTTCATACCTTAAAACTCAGAATTGAGAGAAATCCTGTTCCAAAAAGCTTTCCATGATCATCAACTACACTCACAAGAATTTTTGAGGCGATATCTGATGACCTGGGCGAGTGGTAAAATGTACAACTTTGGTGGTAGGCCAAAATCCCAATTTTTCTTTGTCCACCTTGTTCGGTCTGTAACTTGGTCATTTATTGTTCAATTATATAATCCTTTATAGGGTTGTCTTGTACGGAGTGTAAGTAATATTCAGTAAAAAAATCAGCCAAAACACTTTTAAAATAGCCGAACTATCGGTATTACAGTGACAGACTTCTCCAAATTTTAAAAATTTTCGAAAAAGAAAATTTTTTTTTCTCGATGAGGGAATATTTTTAAAAAATTTTGAAGGTGTGCAATCTTATTCTTTTTGTCTATTTAACCATAATATAAAATAAAATCGATGTTCGGAGCAAAAACGTTTTTGGTGTATCTCCCCTTAATTAACGGGTGATACTCGTAAAATATCTGTTCCATATATTGGACCGTCGAAGAGTCCAACTCGGCGCGCGTCCTGGTAGGTTGTAAACCTACAATATATAGCCATGTGTATACGCCGCGCCTTCGGCGGTCGCGCGCTTCTGTGTACTGCAAGCGAGAGGGTTCTGGTTAGAGCAAGCTGCTCACTGCTGCTCACTGCTGCTCACTGCTGCTCACTGCTGCTAACTGCTGCTCACTGCTGCTCATTGCTGCCATGCTAACTGCTGCTAACTGTTGCTGACTGCTGCTAACTGCTGCTAACTGCTGATAATACTGATTGGAGTGTACGGTGTGCGGTGTGTTTTGAATTTGACTTACGGTTTACCTAGTTGTTATCCTAATTGTATTATCATCGCGGTACATACCATAATGACAAATAAACTACTGGTAAAATTAAATATTAGTGCAAACGTGTTCAGTCAATCGACCCGCTGAACAATTATAAAATTTTCAAGACCCT